GGACATTAAAGTTCCCAGGGCAATATTCAAAGTTGCCTGCCAGAAAATGAGCAAAACAGAGGCAGGCCAATCAAGGTTTCTGCTCCACACTGCCAATATGCTCTCTGACATCAGTATAGATTGTTGCAGTGTGTCTCTTGAGATAGTTAGAATGCATCTAAGTGCATCTAAAACTCTTGAAAGTTTGTTGACGATTGGGTCAGAACTAGGAATGTTCATACATTTGATGGCAAAATTACAGCTATTTTTATACCATAGACCGAGACAACACTTCAACACTTGAGACATCTAAGTGGAATCATTCCAACCAACGATGAGTACAGTCTAGACATGTTTTCAGAAGCAATACAGGAGAAGCAATGGGGATAATGCTAAGAGAACCTTTACAACTGTATCATTTTCAGAACACACTGTTGTGTTGAGAGATACTCAGAAACTACGGGGATTAAAATATCCCAAGTGATTTACAATTAGACATGAGATTGAACAAATATGCTTGTGTACACGAGAAATAATTAACTCCACAGGTGAAGCTGATCGATATTGCTCAACATAACTTATTGACTTTCAGTCATCCCCAGGATAAACATTGTTGATTTTGACATATTTAATTATGTGCATTTTGTATCAAAATTCATAGAGAAATAAATTCAATGATTTAATATCTTATTAGAATGTAACTGGGAATAGGATAGGAGAAAGAGTCAGGAGCTCTGGTCTTAAAATTCATTGTGATAAGATAAGATTCCTACTGAACAGCATAGATAATTTGCCTAATAATGTGAATTAAAATTGCAAAACTGATGTTGCAAAATATAATGCAAGGCAAATTGACTTTTCTAATTTGTAGCATTTTCTTTGCACGCTCTGACATTCATTTCTGCTATACTCGTTCCATTATATTTAAGAAATTGCTAATCTGCTACAATTTACATCATTTTCATGGAAATTGGAGAGGAATTAGAGGGTATTTTACTGAGCATTACGTCCAACAATAAAGGGGTCTAATTAGCAATATTCACAATTTGTGCATTGTTGGGTTAAAAGTGTAATCATTTTACAAGTTTTGTGACATTTCAAATAGTCACAGAAAATATTTGTAAATGGAGCAAATGTATTGCTTGTGCTGTATCCCAGAGTAATGTGTAAAGAATACAGTCACCTACAAAACACATTGTGTTTCGCAGTATATCTTGTGAACTGCTCCGAGATATCCTCCTGTCATGAGAGTGACGATTTCAATTGTACAGATTTTAGGATTATTATAAATAATTGGAACCAGCAAATGGCCTGGCTAATCGGATAGGAATTTCAGATCCTTACAAGTGGTGAGTTTTCCAAATAGGTTCAATGGTGGATATTTTAGCCTTGAATTTATCTGCTAAAAATATGATTTTTTTAAAAAATAGATTCAACCTAATTAGTAATACAAGCAATATTACATATACCTGCATGAATAATAAGGATATGAAAAATGGGTAAATAAAACCCATCTATAATGGTATGAAAGGTTGCAGTAGAAAGCCAATTATTGCCTTGTACCTGTCAAGGCATTATTAAAAGTATACCGTTGGTGAGATCCCTGACAAGTTGATGAGGGCTGAACTCATAGTCATTTGTTCTGCGTAATTTGTGCAGATTCAGATAACCTAAAGTAACTCAGATCAAAGCACTGGTTTGCGCTCCCACATGCTTCTGAATTGATCCGAGATGCCGTGTAATGAACATTTATTTTGCGGTCACTTTAGCCCCATAATCCAGGCACATTCCCTCTGATATAGCATATAGGGAGTTTCAATGGGTAATACAGTAAATCCTCAGACTTCTTTTTGAGGAACTGAGGATTGATTGTTGAAATTAGCTGCTTTGGAATTTCTAAGAATATAATTTCCAGTAATAGTAGGTCACCGCATCAAGAGAGTTGAGTTCACTTACGTTTGTTAACATTAAGCAGCTAAGAAGCTCCTTCCAGCAATTCTATTGAAAATGTTTATTAAAGTTCCAATTATGACATGGGCATTCAGCAGCCCTGGGCTCTCAAAACAGCTGGTTAGGAAATGAGCATTTAGTGCACTATTGGGCTGCACCCCTTATGTACTCTTCCCGTTCAATGTGGAAAACCAGATCAAACCCAAGATGCAATAAGATACAAGATGCAATAAAACTTCACTTTTACAAAGCCTTGTGCAAAGTTGATTTGGGAATTTGAAGAGAGCTGTAACACAGTCTTGGCTGCAGTGTTCCACTTGCTATTTATTACTGTTGTGCTGTTACACTGCTGACTGATGTTAATGTGGTAATGACATTTTATCATTAATTTATATTCTGAGATTACAGTGGTACCTGCAGGTGTTGTGATGGGTCCCTTACTGTGCTCAATTATCATTCGTTCTAACTAACAAAATTAACACTTTTGTGCTGTTGTGCCTTGAGATCCCAGGACACAGTTTATAGATGTGATAACTGACAGAGAGAATATTGAATTTCAATATAACACTGAAAGGGATCAATCTTCCTGAAAAAATAGCAATGATATTTTTTAGTGAGTGAAAAGCTGTGTTTTATTTTTGTGAAGACAATATATGCATTTGATGTGTTTTGACACATCTTATACCATTAAGTCAGGGGTTTACAAATGTGTGTTTGTGTATATATGTGTGGGGGAGTGGAGGGGGGAGGATTTGTTAAAATCTTTCTCAGTAAGACAATCGTCTGAAGCACAAAACTCAATTTCACTTTTCAAAGAATTTGTTCTTATCAGACTTCCAGTTATTATTAAATGATGATAAAGGTTTTGAGTAAATTGCAATTGTAATGCAGACCGTCTTACGTCCAAAATATTAATGTTTCTGTGCAGGGGTTAATAAGTCTTTTTACATTGAGTCAAGAATACGTGTGTCACATTTTAGATGTGATGGAGTTGGAAGGGCTGCTTAAATCATTTATATTTTGATACAGGTACATTGAGGTAAATACGACATAGTGTAGAAATAGATACAGAAAGGAAGGGTATTTTCAAATGGTAGCAGAGGAAATTATGGATTAATTTCCAAGCTTAATAATAATACTTGCATTTGATATAGCGCCTTATCATGTCATTGAGACGTCTCCAAACCCTTCACAGAATAAAGTGTAAAGTGGAGAGGCTGTGTATTTTGTGAGTGAAACTTTTCAAGCTCCATAATCCTGATATCCATTTCTTGTTCCTGATCAACTTCTGATAGATGCTACTATTTTGGGGGGAGGGAGGTGGGGTCAGTCGTGTGCCTGACACATGCAGGAAACCCCATCACTGTACTTAATTAAGAGTCTCCAAACCAAACTGAGAACTAAATAATGGAAATGCCAGTGTATGTTGGAATGGAATTCGAATGTGTACACTCTCGCTCCCTCTCTCTCTTTCTTTCTTTTCTTTGCTTTCTCCTTGGAGGATAGACACCAACAGACACTAAGATTATCAATCTGTCTTGTCTTTCATTTTCGTAGGATTCCACAGAATTCTCTATTATTCTTTTTAATCACCTTGATTTAGGGAGAGAAAAGAGAGGTGGGGGAGTGGGAATCAATCCTGCAACATAGGTACTCTCTCTTTCTCTCCCTGACTATTGGCACAGCCAGAAATCTCTGTGACTTGCTGGGATCAGTATATCTCTGCGTCAGTGGGAATGTCACTGGTTTAGAGCCAGAGGCTCTAGAGAAGTAGAGAGAAAGTCGCTGATGTGCGTTGGTTTGAAAGCACCGCGGAAGCAGCAGAAAGAGCTGCTCAATGATAGAGCTTTTCTCTGCTCGACATCTGAACCGATTGCAATTACCAGGAAACTTCACATCCAGAGAAGGATTTTGAACGTGCAGGTCTGTTCACCAGTAATAGCACTATATTTATTTAAAAAATCTTTGAGAAGGGGGCATCTTCCTTGTGATTTATATGTATGTGAGTATTATTTATAAATCTATATATATATACTTACATACATATAAATCACAATGAAATGTTTGTGTATATAATATATATATTATATAATTGTACTATATATATGATATATATTACATATATGTGTGTGTATGTGTATAAGTGTACCCAGTAATCTGGTAGAGATTTCTCTAGCATTTGTTTAGGAGGAAAAGAAAGAAAGAAAAACATGTAGAAGACGTAAAAAGAGCCAAGGATGGTATATTTTAGAATTTAAATGTCAGGAATAAAACAAGGGAGGGGTGGGTGGGGGGTTAAGTGACAGTTATTTGCATCTTATTTTAATCTAATCCAATATTAAAACGGTCCCCTCCTCGGCATCTGATGTAACTCATTTCAGTATTTTAGTCCAGAATAATCATTCTCTATTAAAAAAAATGTATTGGCGACTTTATCTGTTTGTCATGACAGGAGATGGGTGGGTGGGTTTACTGCTCTGTGCAGCTGGTAATGAATGAATGAATAGAATGAATAAACGCAGCATGAGATAGGTCTGAGTATCATAGATTGTTAACAAGGAGAGACTGACTGACCACTCAACGTGGATCAGGTTGGTGTTTTTGTTGTATTGTATTTTTATTGTATGGTGTTTTTCGGCCAAAGGCTGCCTTCTCGATTTATTCTCTGACATTAAGCGCTGGTAACAACTGTCAAACTTTATGTCAGTCAATGCTTTTTTTTTACGCTTTGGTTCATAATTCCTTCCCGAGGATCCCATCCTCCTGTTTCCTTTTCATGCAAAATTCTTTACAATCGCATGTGTTCGCATTCCTTCCATTGCACTTTTGAAAGAACACCGAAAAGACAAGAGCTGATGTATTAAATAATATCTTTACAGATAGGTGGATGATTTGCTGCAGATTAATCGCTGAACAGCTGACGGATTCTGTCCATCTTTCTCGCAGGTGAATGAATCTTCTACAACCAAGTCTGTACCTTCTCGCTCCAGGAACAGACCTGAAATTGGAGTGGTTATCACTGAGCTATTTATTATTCCTTCCTATTTTGTGGAGCCCACATTGCTGGCTGGATGGATGCCATGTCTGTCTATGGCACTAACCTGACCACAGAGGTTACACCATGCTTTGAGCAAACCTGCTTGTCCACCCCAGGGATAGACACCACCACCAACACCACCACCACCAATAGCCCAATTTCCCTCTGTACCTTGGGCTGCTGCAAACTGGTCAACAGGACTTTGGTGATCACCTTCATGGTCGTCCTGGCTTTCACAATTGTTATAGGGAACACCATTACGTTGGTGGTTTTTCTCAGGACCAGACAGTTCCGGACACCTCAAGGCTACTTGAAAGTCTCCTTAGCCCTGGCCGACATGATGGTGGGCTTGCTGGTGGTCCCCTTCTCTGTCTACACTGAGATCGCCTTGCTGGTGACCAGCCGGCCTCCAGCCTGGTATCAGGGCTTGAGTTCCTGGCGTCTCGGGCAGCCATGCAGCCTGATCGGCCCCGTGTTCGCCGGCTGCACCTTTGTGTCCATCAGCACCATCTTCCTGATGACTATGGAGCGCAGTGTGGCCATCCAGAGACCTCTACACAAGGACTCGCTGGTCACTCGCAAGAGGATCTGTTCCCTCATCTGCTGCTCCTGGCTGGGGGGCTTCCTGTTGGCAGTGTCTCCCTTGCTCTTCAGCGATGACTTTGCCCTGGAGTACAACAAGTGCAGTAGGATGTGCAACTATGTGTTTGTGCCCAAGACCTCCTATATCCCCATGTGGAACATCATGCTTCTATTCCCCGTTTTCGATTTCACGCTTCTAGGTGGCACTTTGGTAGTCAATGTCCTGTCTTTCAGCAGCATCAGGCGCTACTCAAAGAAGCGCAAGACTTTGGCAGAGGTGGACAACTTCAGCGGCTCCGCACGCCCTTCTTTTTCAGACATCAAGGCTGCCAAAACCATAGGGATCCTCACTTTCGCTTTCACGGCTTCTTTCAGCCCCATCGCCGCCTTCGTGGTGGGTAACGTTCTAGGCTATCAGTGGTGTAACTTCTCCTTCTTTGCCTTTTGGATACTGGCTTCTAACAGCTGCTGTAATGTCATCATCTACAGTGTCAGGGACTACAGGTTCCGCAAAGGGCTGCATCAGTTATTCCACAGGAAGCTGCAACCACCGTTTGAAAAGAACTGACTTTTTAAGGAACTTATTTTTTTGCCCACTCTTTCTCTCTACACAGTCCACAAAGTATATACAGTCAATTCACTTTACAGGTATATACTTTGAGACGTCTCAACGATGTGATAAGGCACTATATCAAATGCAAGGATTATTATTATTGCTTTTCGGACTCATAGTAAAGGCGCTCACACAACATCTATCAGTATATCTTTTTGGGGGGGATTTACTTACGATTTCAGACAGTTAATATTTTTAAAGATTTAGAGCATTCAGCCTGTATATTGCTAGTCTCCAAAGCTCCAGACCTAGAATATATGTATATTGTTCAAAGTTTTGATCTGGTTTCATCTACACAATACAGTCACTACACTTTACAGTGAATCCTGTGATGCACGTTGAGACATCTTCCTGACATGAAAGGTGCTACGTCAAATGTAAGGATTATTGTTATTTTATTGATGCTTTAAAGGGGACGAAAGTCCAACAAAGTATTATAGTTTCTGGACTAAGTACACCCATGCACAGGGGGAAAGTATACAGTATTTACGAAAGCACTATTTATGAAAGATTACGAATTTATTTATGAAAGATTATGAAATCGAACAGTATTACAATTTTTCACAAATCAACGGCTTCAAGGATTCTCCGGTCATTGTTATCTCAATAAGGATGGGTGCGACAGGGGGCCATGGAGGGAGATTGCATTAATTTACAGATCTTAGTAGTTGTGTCTCTTGTTTTGAAATCCTACCTTAATTTTAGGCATGAACAAATACCTCTGAGTTTGAGAAACGTGATTAGCTAAACAGTTAAATATTTGCCTTTGAACAAAAGCTTGCTTAAAAGACCCTCTTTTTGTTTTTGGATAAGCCCTCTTTTCATCTTTAGAAGTGTAGAATGTTGACATTAGTAATATTGAGATCAGATTTCAATTTGATCAGCATTTACGTGAGACAGACACTTTGGAGATTATGCCATTGAAGTTGCACCTTAATCATGAGACAGGATGCTTGTTTCACACTGTAAAACGAAATGATCTTTTCCTGCGTACTGAATAAATGAATGTTGTAAAGTATTTTAACAAGGGCAGGAATAAAAAAAGACAGACAGTGCTATCTCTTTGTGGGCTGCATTTATTTCAAATTCTTTGAACTTCACAAGGTCGCAAGTACTACAGGAGCAGCAGATGAGGGAACAGATGCTCTTGCTGTATGTATGAAATATGTTAGATCATGAATTCCTTGTACCAGAATACCAAACAAAAGCCCTCACTGGTTACAGAGAGAAGGGATTTGTACCACCCAGCTCCTGCTAACTCTTAAGTACGGTGAAGCGTTTCCACACGCGTCAGACACTTGGCTGACCAGAAAAAGATAATGTCAAGGATTTTTTTTGCACGTATGATTTTTAAAGACCCCACTCCATTCCCTGCACATACCTGTGGTAGAGGAGGTTTATGGCTAATAAATGATATCCTAAGATGTATCACTGTCCTTCTCTCACTGGACACTGAGACCATTTTGATAGAAATATAACATTTAATCAGTTTTATTCATGGGTGTAGTGGGAAATCTGAAACCTTATTAGTATAAAAATGTTTCAGGTTTGAACTCAAATTTGTACTTTACTGCAAAATCCCAGGTTGCCATTTACGGGTTTGCAATAAGTGATATAACCTTATAATAACTTCAAAGGTCTAAAGATGTAATTGCCACGCTATCTTTCCTCCTCTCTTTCCTCTGTTATTTGTATCCAGCTCACTTTGCCTTTACCTTTTTCTTTGCACCCACCGTCCAGTTTTGCATCTCTGATGGGTTGGAAAATCAGGTTCAAAATCTATAATTTTAAGCCAATCTTGCCCTGAGTTTCTGTATGTCAGACACCAGCTGACCATCAAAAACCAAACATCAGCCAAAATGAAGAAAGGGTGTTGAAATCACTGTCGCTCATCGGAGGTGATGGGTCAATCATTTGACATGATTGTTCAAGTGGCTCCAGGAAGCTCAAGCTCTGGGGACAAAATAGCTGTTTCAGAACACCAAAGCTTCACTAAAACAAGTGATCTTGTCGTCTCTGGGGGATGAAACAAAAAAGGAAAAGAAAGTGTACTTTGCACGTCTAATATGTTATATGTCAAAAAGTGTGTGAGTGTCTAAACCTTGCCACTAACAGTTGAGAGCTCCTGCTGAATTATTCACTAAGCAGTTGGTGGTAAAGGAGCATCTGCTCTGATGCCTTCTGTCTTTGTTTTATTCAAATGCGGATCAGATCCTGAGAAATAAAAAGTTCACATTACGAAGAAAAGGATAAGACCTTTATCTGGACTCATCTTTCTGCTGTGGTTGTTTGATTTCGGATCCAATAAACAGTGATAAATTTCTTCCCGATCACATGTTCCTAAGTTGAGAATATTCCTGGCACTTCACCAAAGGTGCAATTTTTCAGGGCACGTGGCTATTTGATATCACGGCGAACTGGATGTGTGAAACCTTCCATCAAGCTTCTCTCCTAGCAAGCCATTTCTCCATTGCACTCTAGCATAACTTAGCACAAAAGTTAAATGAGACTTAATATTTATTGGATGGTGCTAGTTTCCTTGGGAACTGTACAATCATAATAATTATAATTATTGCAAGGATGATTATTATTATTATCACTGTACTTAGATTTACAACAGCATCCGCATAGATCCAAAATTAAACAATTCCCTATCTTTGTAAGATTACGCCACCATTGTTTTAAGATTTCTCTGTGTTATGTTTGATCTAGGAATACACATATTTCATTCTCATGTATCCCAAAGAAAGGTAACTGTGTATTTTTGGGAGTGCATCTCTACAATTGCTTAGCATGCAAAAGACACAAATTTCAGATCATTGGTGCCAAAATATAATAGCAGTACAGCAAATTGCGGAACTTATAACAATGAGTAGGTCCACATCACGTCATCAATGGTTGAATACAGTACTAACTATTATGGTCATTTGTCCAGTATAACCTCTGCTTTACATTGCAAAGATCCAAAGCTAAATAAGCTTAAATGCTCATTCTGTAGTCAACAATAGATATTTGAGTATTTTAGGTAACAAAAGCACAAGGCATGAAATAGTTTAACCTGCTGCTGGCACAATGTTCATTCAGCTTTGAATAATACAATTTAAATTGAGTTATCAGCAAACTGACCTAGATTTTATTTCTTGTAGATGCAAGATAAGTAAAACATTAATCTTTGGAAATGAAAAGGACTTTGTGGCATAGATGACTATTATTTGCGTTGGGTAATCCATTCAACCAGACATTTATAATCGCTAACTTGTCAAAAGCATTGTACCTTGAGTTATTAATTCTGGCTCCTCTATTGAATTACATTATATGAATTACAAAATATACAGTCAATTCACTTTACAGTATATTCTGTGAAGCGGTTTGGGACGTCTCGAAGACATGATAAGGCGTTATATCAAATGCAAGGATTATTATTATTATATTATTATACTACATGGTACAATCAGCAGGTATTGTGGTGATTACTCCCATGAGGTGTGAGGTGAAGTATTCACTTCACGAATAATATAGCTTACTAACAGAAAAGCAGAAAATTGAGGATCTACTGTTTGAAGCATTTAAGAAGTAATTGAATAAATACAGAAATAACAACATGGAAATGTATGGGGAGAGACAAGAGAACTGGAATGAAGCAGATATTTACAATGGAAGAGCAAACAAAGAGCACCAACAAAGACAATGGGCTGTGAATGTGGAGATTTACTTCACAATGGGTGGAAAGACACTGTTCTAATCCACTTAATTACCTGAAAGACATTAAAGCAAATAAACATTAGAAACAATTCCTGACTAATGCTTTTAATTATTAAGTTTGGACTGACATTCCATTGCAGGGTTATATACTATTCAAATCATAGCTTAAATTACTCAGTTGCCTAGTGTGCCTTGGATACATTTGTCTAACCAGTATGTTATCAAACTTTGTTCATGATACAAAATGGTCTCCTTTTAGCAACATAGCATTAACATTGACATAATGTCATTTCCGTAGGTATCATGTGCCAGAATAAAATTCTTCTTTGTATTTAATCAGAGGGGATATTCGCTGCTCTAAAAGATAATTGCAGTTTAGCTGTTTTGCAAAGCGTTCAGGACTTGATGCAGTTTTCTTTTATGACATTCAGTCATATTTACACAGTGTCGGTGAAGCTTGTCTGTTCTCACCGACCACCAGAGGTTATTTACCAGTCACAGAGACCTTTAAAAATATCCTTTATTGAGGATTTCAAAGGCAATTTCTTCTGAATGTTCCCTCGCAGTGGAGCTCCCTGAACACCACTTTTATGCTGGATTCTTGCAGGGCAGACTGATCTGAAATGCTAAAAGCACTATGCCACTCGAGAACTGCATTGAGCTCAAAGCACGCAGACAAGATAATACAAGCCTAGTATCAATTGCTTCATGGAATATTGCTCAGAACTGCCCGACAGGGGATTCACAAGAACAAGCAAGGTTTGACCATCCATTGATCTGTCCCACCATTCGGAGAAGTGCTGACCGCTGATTGCTGCCCCACTTCCCTCTCCACAGTGGTGCATTTAAGTGTATGAACTCAGCCCAGTGGGGAATCATCAACCCACATCCAACCCACACTGTACAGCATACAGGGCTCCGAAATCCCATCGTCTACTGCAGTGGTGGCCAATCATTTTGGTCAGCCCACAAAAATAAATGTCCTTGATTGAATATTTCTTGATTTTTGCCTTAAATAAATAAATATTCTATCAAGAAAAACCTGGAAACACACCATCGAACACAGATTTACCTAGATTTACCTGTGCAAATGTTTTTTTGGGGGTGGGGGGGGGGGGAGGTGGGGTTATAATTGCCCGTTACTGGTCTACTGTTGTCAGATTCAGTCAGGTTCAGTACGGCCACTAATCCAATCCCCCCAATGGTGGATTAGCACCTACTTTTCCAATGACTGTATTCAGTAGAAGAAGGCAAGGGAAAAAAGCAATTGTACATAAATGATAATTCAATTTTT